TCCCCAAATAATCATTTTTATGAATCTAAAGGTGCTAATTTGTGTTTTACATGATAAAAGTCACTCTTTTAGAAGTTTTGAAAAATGGCATGTGGGGTTGTATTTTGGTCCATTTATGAAGAACATGCCTAAAGCTTGTGAACATGGGACCCTTATGTCGATACTTACATACTGTGCTACATGTACGCGTATGACCAGGATTGAATACATGTGGTGCATTGTATTTGTATTGACAAATGCTTGGCACTAAGGTCAAAGCAAGTAAGGTATCATAAAAAGGCACCAGTTCCATACATGCAGATTTCTGTTGAAATTGTTAAAGTTTTACGTGTACATGGTGTGAATACAATGTAAACATGTACATGTACAATGTACATGTACATGCACATGTCGATTTGTGTAAAAGTGTACATGTACTGGTACATGAAAACTCTACACAAGCTGAATGTTTGTTTTGCACATGGGTATGTTATGATAGGGTCTGTGTTATGTTTAGCTGGTTTATTATAAGACTCCTGACCCTCTGTGTGAGGATCTCAAAAATAGCTAGGATGACCCAGCACGAACCAAAGGGAACAATTGGTGAGGTGACCGGGCATGTACTGGCAGTGCGTACAAAGTGCAGTTCCTATGCCCAGTAATTCATTGGGTCACCAGGCCAGCTGGCAAAATCTGTAAGGACTGTACTCTGTACATGTGAGATTGGGTGCTCTGCATTGTGACACCCCACATGAATACTAAAGCATGTTCTCCTCTTTCCTAGTCTCCATTGTGTGAGGAAAGACACGTCAATAATGAGACAAGAGGGTACATACATGTACTTAGGATCGAGATGTGTTGACCAAGAGTTGTTGTCCTGTTGTAAAGGATCTACACTGAAGTACTTAATTTACATCATAAACAGAAGCTGGAGACAGTCCTGTTGAAGTTGGCAGGGATGTGTCTCCTGGAGGAGTTGATTAGGACGAGAGGGTCATTTCAATCAATGCAGAGTTCTTTGTTACTAGAGAACGCTACAAGTGGCTTACTGACTACCCTGACCAGAAATATACATGTACAGTGTACATTATACCAGTGCATGTACATGTATCTAACAAATTCAAGAGAGCCTTAAAATTGAAGGGAGCTACATGTGCTTACCGGTATAAACATGTACATATATGTGGTGTTTGGTACATGACAACCACATTTTCTGGTACTTTCTTTGTTAAATACTCATGTTTTTTCTATAAGTTATTGTCGTCTTTTTAGCCCAAATGATTTGTTCACCTAAAGTACACTTTACAGTACCGGATTTGCTGCAGAGGCGGAAATTTTTACTGATGTCAGAAGCCCCCATAGAAAAGGAATCTCAAAAGTACACAAAAATGTATACATTTGGTAATCAACCATTGTCAAGAAACTAAATATGTATTGTACGGTACATGTACAATGCATGCGTCCAACTTTCATGAATTATGCCTGTTTGCCCTCTTACGTGTACTTTGGCAAGACAGGTACAGTAATTACTGTAAAATCTCGATAACTCAAAGTCGGTAAACTCGAAACTCTGCTAAACTCGAAGAATAATTAATTCCCGCCAAAAGAATAGGCTTTGATGTACAAAAACATATCCGTAACTCAAACTGCTCACTTTGCCGGATTTGTTTACCTCGAAGTTTTTGTGCAGCAAATCCAATGAAAACCGCTGCCAAAATACTTCCAGAAAGTGTAAACAGAACGTGGATCTAGTTATGAATCATTTCTGACATGCACACTTCTTCTTTTCACACCAGAACACTTGCAAGTGCGCTACAATGATGATCAATCTAGACACGTAAACCACACCGTGACTGCAAAATCCAACTTGCAGAAATTGGCCCAATTGTTACTGTGGGCCAATTGTAGCCAGTGCATCGGCAGGCCAACTGATGGCTCTTTGCGGTGGCTGCGGCAATGCATTGGAGATCTTTGTGTATGCCGCACCTGCCACATGCACGTGCGGAAGTTAAGTCTGGCCTAATGGTCTGGCCCAACTGCTTGCACTCGCCCGTGCGATGGCTGTCCAATTAGAGCCACAAACCACAGCATGCTCACGCGCAGTGGACCAACCACGTAACCGCAAAGCCAAATCTCACTCCCAAAAATAAACAAAAGTTTAAAAATAAAGAACGAAGAACAAAAAATAAAAACTGACACCAATAGCATTTTTGTTTTTACAAAATTTTATTGGAAGCGCAAAAAGGTGCACCCTCATATGATGAAAAAAGTCTTCGGGAAACCCCACCCGAGTATGCATGTGCAAGGCGCTGCGTTGCGGTGCGCGGTATCAGAAATGGGACCATCACAATACGTCACACATGCACGAAGCAAAAGAAAGATTTGCCACACAAAGGTACACAGTGTAAATGATTTACAGTACATGTAATGTGTTATTTATCCGCCGATTGACAACAAAAATCCTCCGCAAAAATGTCTTTTCTATGAACAAAAACTTGTGGCACCAAAGTATAAAATAACCACATTGTCATTTCAAAACTCATCGTAGGGAGATTTATGGTAACTTTGCGTCAGCGTATGGGTACATGTTCAAAAGAAATTGGGACCTTCTTTTAACTCGAATTTCGGACAACTCTAATTTTTTGGCCATTCCCCAGAGATTCAAGGTATCGAGATTTTACTGTAGTCTCTCAATTTCCCATGCCAGTTATATGTGAAGCAGGTGTACCGGTACATACTGGTACATGTTCCAAATGTGTGGATTAAAATGTTTGTACCTGACACCTGTTCTGGTATGTACATGTATACATGGCAAATTACCGTATTTACATATTGTAGGTACTGTACATGTACTGTACATACCGATGTGGGAGGCCAGAATATTATCAAAAGACAAATGCCAAAGAACTTTCCCCTTGTCTGCACATACAATGTACATGTACATTCTGTGTTGCAGAAACTTTTTGCTGGGAAAACACGTTATAAATTTTTTTAAACAATATACATGTACGGTACATGGGCATGTATGGCACATGTACATGTACTGTTCATGTAATACAGTATTACCGGTACATTAAATTGATGTACAAGATATTGTTGATAGTATGTATGGGTACCATTTCTATCCAAGTTTTGTTTGTTGAATATATGGTTGCACATCACGTGTACAGGTATTTGGCCAACTCATCCAATGGATGTACCATACCAGTACCGTACCTGATCAAAGACCCCCTAATTAATGAATAGCAGGTCACTCGCACAAACTTGAAAGGAGAGGTAACCTTTCTCATGAACGTTGCTTCTGTTATAATGTCATCGGTGTGCTTGTGCGTCATTGTGATGCAAGTGGTGACATTTCTGATAAACCATGCTTGCTACCGGTAGTCTGTATTTTTTTCCCTATATGTATTGGTATAATGTCATTGATGTGCATAGCATTGCTGAGTATTACTGGTACATGTACCTGAAATAATTCAATTGGCCCTTACAGAGGTAAATGACCCACACTGTACCGTACATGTAGGTTAACTCATGGATTTCCCTCCAGGTTTACCAACTTCGCCATGTACAAGTGTATGTACATGTATATATTGTACATACTGTACCGGTACATCCTGGCTGAGACGTCCTTTACTTGCTAAAGCATGGCACCGCATAAGTTCAGCTTAAAAGACATAAGCTACATGTATTTGTGTTTGAATAGATTTGTATTTTAGTTCCTTTTTTGCATCTTCAAAAAGGGATTAATGTCACATGCATGGACATGTGCATTCACCTGCACAGATACATGTACATGCATGACGAATCTCTGGGTCCCCCTTCCCTCTTGGGGGAGGGGGTGGCCATTGTGTCTTTTTGTGAGTAGCTGGTTTTAAGAATTAGTTCTGAAGGCTGTGTTGAAGAGTTTGTCTTGAGGTCCCAGATGCCCTGTTCGTCAGTGTGCTTGTTAAGTAAGGCATGTGAATCTCATATACTGTACTGTTCATGTATTGTTAAGTACCATACATTGTTCACGTGCGTATGCATGCATTTTCAAAACCTTGCCAAATTTAGGGGTACAGTGTGCACTGGTACAAATGAGTAACATCTACAATGTGTAAGCTCCTCGTTGTGGCAGCAGAGTTGAACCATTGGTTGGGTTTGTACCGGTAGTTGGAGATTGTTCTACTGAATTCTTGTACATGTACCTGGTATGGTACCTGTACATGTACCTAGTGCTTGGCTTTTTGCTCCACCCATCACCAGGAGATAATATATATTATTGCCTGGCAGTGCCACTGATATATCTCAGCTTGGAGGGCAGGAGTTGTAATAAACTTCCTGTTCTGAGGGTACCAGCAGAGTACATGTACATGTACTGTAGTTCTTGCCGATCAGTTTGCCATTCTCCTCCAAAGGGAGGGTATTAATTGGAAAGCACTGGGTAGGGATGTCAGATACATAGAGATGTTTTTCATCTCAAAGTAAAGCTCATAACCTAAAAGAAAACATCTTGTTTGCCAATAACCAGTTAATGTGAGAAAAATGAAGAAGTGGAAGATAAAGTTGGGGGATACATTCGAAGAAGAAAAGGGTGAAAATGCACAATTTAGCAAGTCTGAGTTGACGTAAGAGTCCTGGAACTTTTCAACAAAGTCTTGGCATTTTCAGTGATCGACAAAATTGGTCTATCCACTTCTGAGATATTGTTATTCACTTCTCTCTCTCTTTCATCTTTGCATCTGATTGCTCTGTCATTCAACAAGTTTGACAAAATAATATTCCTGAATGAGTCATCTAAAAATTTACAGAAAATACTACCAACATGTGGGAAACAAGGTAACGTTGCAGACCCAGCCCCTACAGCCTTTGAGAAGTGCTGGTACATGTGCAACAACTACTACTTCACTCTTTTTAGGAGTTGTGTGGGGAGGGTTTGACAAGTCACAGCTCCGTCTGAAAGGACGTGAATGATTTACAGACTGTGATTAAGACTACGCCATGTTAATTATTGGTTGCACTCTGTCTTTTGCACTTTGTAGATGCCACCCCTGCAGAGAGGGAAGACCTCTTCGTACAGAAGTTGCAGCAATGCAGCGTGGTCTTTGACTTTGTTTCGGACCCCCTGAGCGACCTGAAATGGAAGGAAGTCAAGCGGGCAGCTCTTAACGAGCTGGTAGATTTTGTTACCCATCAGAGAGGTGTTATAACAGAACCAATCTACCCTGAAGCCGTTAAAATGGTAAGGGGCTTATCCTGGTACTTATGCACGAGGAACATTGTGTTGTTGCTCCTTTCCTTTTTAGGGGGGTGGGGGTTCCCCCCCCTTTTTTTAGGGGATGAGGATTCTTTTTGTCTCATCTTACCTTAAAGAGTATGTCAGACTTCACAAGTAATTGCTTTTGAATGGTCAGAATGGTCCAATTGATTCAAAACTGTCCAAGTTGTGTGAATGAGATAATTCATATTAGCAAAAAACCATCAACTGCAGTGGTACTGGTACATGTGTTGGGTAAAGTCGGAGTCAGTTGGGAAAACTGTCTTGCATCATCATTTTACTGTCATGAGTGCCGGATGTGTTCCTTGTGTATGCCAACAGGTTTGTATGTACATGTACATGCTGTGTCAGGAACAATTTGATAATCAGGTTATAAAAAAGAATTCACTTCAGATCACGTACATGCAGTTTTTCAGCACGTTGAAACTTCTTGTGCAAGTCTTTGTGGGAGTATTGCCTAGGATGGGAGAATCATAACCCCACCCCCACCTCATCCAAAAAATTAAAACTAAGAAAAAGTACCAAACTAGTGAAAAACAGTAAACATCAGAGAGTGAAAAACCCCAAAATCTTTGAAATCTCAAACTTAAGAAATGAAAGCCTCAAATTAAAACCAACCAACTTAATCACCAAACATGAATGGCAAAACAACTCGGAACCATTAACCATCGGATTGTATTCTTTAACTTTTCAAAACCCTTTAAGTTTGACCTCAGCACTTTGCTGAAAGAGATCCAATAGCATGCACATACACACACATGGTTCAAACCCTCTGAGGATGTAATCTCGTATGAAATTCTGTTACCCGTACCTATTCAAACCCTTCACAGTCTTCCTGTGTTTAGTTCAAGGCAGCAAAGGACAAGTAATTTACTTCCCCCATGCCTCACTGCTCTCCACACAATTTACTTATACCGTAATGCTTCAGACCCCTTAGCGTTGGACATCTAAAGGCTTCTGTCATATTCTGCAAGCAGCGTGAAATTTTTATTTGACATTTAGTGGGTTACTGATGGAAAAACTTGTTGGGATTGCAGTTTGAGCCTTTGAACACCTGTTCACAGTTTGTGCGTGCCAATCCCTCTACTTCAATATCCCAGAAGTTTACATACATGTACTGTTGGTTGTCTGTCATGTCTGTATGTTGAATAGTCAGTTGGTACAGTTATGTGCATAATTGTCAATACCAGGAATATTTGATGGATTGGCAAATTGTGGAGACTTAAGAAAAACTTTTTCTTGGAAGGAAGCACTGGTTAGATGCAAGTTGCATCCTCTGAAATGATTCCACTGTGAATGTTGCCATTTACATGTACATGTAGATGGAAAGTTAGGAACCTGCCAACGCTCATGCAATTTTAAACAAGTTTGAATATTGACAACCACAAGGGAAAAACTCAATCCAACTCAAGATTTATCTGTGAGAATCTCTGATCCACTGTAATAATGCATCTGCATTTTAACTTCATTTAACCTACCACTTCAGATTTTTCTTTTGCCTCTGAACAACTACTGTATAACCTCCCCCCCTGGTATTTATCCTTTCCCATATTGGGAGAAAGCAGCTGTCTCAGAACATGCATACGGTATCAGTGCATGTATATGTACCGGTATTTCCCTTCCTTGAAAATGTCAAGAGCCTAGAAAATGACAAACTTGTGTGATGATTTCCACATTGTCATATGACGTGCATCCGACATCAGATGGGGCAGCTTGAGAAGTGTATGGTTTATTTTAGGATCCACTAGAAAGTGCAGTTTATATGTGGAAGAGGCCGTGTTGGTATCAAATACACATGTACATGCAGTGATGCATAGCTTTGGTTCACTGTGCTTGTTTATATTACTGTACATGTCAATTTCCTGGCCACAATTGTTTTTGATTGAAATTGGAGCTTGGTAATGAGAACGTTTGCACTACGATGAGGTCTGGCAGATATTTTTGGCTGTGCTCAATAAAATGTACATGTAGTGTGTCATGGTTTTTTTTCCCCCTGTTTGCTGGAGGCATATGTTTACATGTTAACTGGCTGGCATTGAATTGTTTTTTTCCAAACAGGTGAAAACAGAGCAAAGACTGAAATGCGATGTCATTCAGTTACACTTTTGCTTTTTATATTATAAAAGAAATGCATCCATAAAGAATCCAGTAATCCCCACAAATATCAAATGTTAAAATAAATGAAAATTTGAACAAATTTTCTCTTGACCAGTTGTGACAGTTTACATGAAGTGATTTCAGTCAGAACTAAAGATAATGTTTGTGTACGCTTATGAGTATGACACTGTTTTATTTGTAGCGATACTTGAAAATGTGCTTCTCTCGTTGAATATACATGTCATTATTTCCAAAGAAATTTCTCAAAGGAGGTCCAGTGCAACCCTACTGTTTTCCGAATTGTTGAAATCATTTTAAAAATGTTTTTCCCCCTTAAAGTTATTGTGTAAGAAGATAGTTTGTTCATTTTCAGGCTCTTCCTTATTGATATTTGTACCTCTTTGTTCATTTTCACAGTTTTCAATAAATATGTTCCGCACGTTGCCCCCACCTTCAAACCCCAGTGGCGCTGAGTTTGATCCAGAGGAAGATGAGCCTACATTAGAAGCAGCCTGGCCACACCTACAGGTTAGATAAACCAGCGCTGACATTATTCTAATTTTCCACTAGGAAATTGTCAAATCTTGAGTGCCACAGTTTAGCCTAAGAGTGCTCAGAGCTGACTCTGCACATTCAAATTTTCTGTGTTGCCGCTTGTCAGTCAGTTTGGAGCTGTTGGTTGGAACCAAAGCCAAGGCTTTCTATTGGTTGGCAGCTGTCAGCTGACTCTTGCCATACAGCAGAACGTCGCTATACTGAACACCGCTGTACCGAACATTTGGTTATACCGATTATCGTCCTTGGCTCCCACTATGTTGTGCACAAAACCAACCAAACATTATGTAATTGCAAATCAACTGAGATTCGCCACAGCATGCGTCAGAGATCAATCCTGAGCGGTAGCTTCACGACTTTTTTAGGATAAACTAAATATCACTTTTGTAACTCAAGATTTAATAAAAACCAAAAATAATTGACATGTACATTTATAGAAACCTTAAACGTGAATGCAATGGCAAAACATCAAGAAAACAGCGAATCATAGTATCACAAGAGGGTGCACTGAAGTTGGACTAGAGAGGGCGCTATTCAACATGGCAACGAAACGTTCAACAATTAATTTCGCTATACCGAATGTACCGAACATTTAGCGTGGACCCTGCTAAGTTCGTGAAAGTGGCGTTCCACTGCATTTGGTAGGGGCCTGCTGATTGGTGACCATCTTGGTTTCAGGATATAGGTGGGTTTTATAACTGAAATGACTCTGGCCTGCCCAATCATTCATATTTTATGAGCAGATAATGAAGATACGGGATAAGTCAAAACCAAAACCATTGAAGACTCGCATGTACATGTACATTGGAAGAAATCCCTTTACCGTTTTCAATGATTTACATGCACTACTAAAGGTTGTTGCACAAACAGTCAGGTTTCAGTTGTACAGTAACTTGGGCTGAGGATAATGTTTTATTATTCCTTGAATAATAGTAACTAGCACGATGTCATTACTCCCTGTGCAAGGTTATGGACCTGTTTTAATACAGAAATTTAAGCCTGTGAGGGGAAGAAAAACAAACAGGAAAAAAATAGCATAATTGCTTCGTGATGTGGAGTTGAATAATGACCTTCTAGTAAAGGAACTGGCATGTGTTGATTCTTCCTGAACAGAGCCATTGTACATTGTACACTGGCAATTATTTGCTGGCCTACAATGTGCATGGCTATTGCGGAATATATTGCTTCGCGTTGTGTTGGCCCGTGTACATATACCATGATAGGCAGAGAAGCAATGCAGTTTAACTAACTCTTGTGGCCTCAAAACCAGCTTTGCACCTGTGCCTTCCCAGGAAAAATAACTACATATAGCAAGGGGGGCAGGGGATCCACAGGGAGATTGTCAGGGGTTTGTGTGCGGTCACTGGATGGGGGACATGCTAGTGTTGGCCAAGACAGCAGAATTCAATAGTGGACTCGCTTGAGTATTATGCCGCATGCACAGATTTCTATCGCGCCCTCTTGTGACTTCATTTCACCAATCGGCAGCTCGTTCTACCATCTTGGGAATCTTCTACAAACAGAGGCGTGGCCTTTGTATGCAGCATTGTAGTTTCATATGAATATTCACAATTGACCCTAGGATGCAAAATATTGCTGAATATGGTTGTTATTGTTGTATGTAAAAATTGTTGGGACTTTTTAGGCTGGTATCCAGTTCTTGCTTAGCATATATTTTCTGTGTTTAGTAAATTTCCCAGCTTAGCAGCTCTATAAAATTGACCAAAGTACTGACACATTATAAGTTACCAAGCTACATACCGGTACATGACAATGTTGAGGCTATGCCCAGTAATCTCTGCAGGTCCTGTAAAGTCAAACTGCTGCGACAGTAAAAGCAGAATGGCAAACTAAGATAATTCTTGTACTCTTACACTTCCATCACACTCAACCTGTTTTTACCTGTGCATCATCCTCAAGTCCTATTCGAAACTTCCCTGACCAATACACTTTTCCCAAGAAAACACTTGACGGTTTCACTTACTACCACGTCCCCCCTCCAGCCACATCCTTTAAATAAGAGCTTCCTTGTATTTGCTGTGCACTCAAAGCTTTTACTGGACGGTGTCTCTTCTGTTCACAGCTTGTTTATGAATTTTTCCTACGGTTCTTGGAATCGGCAGACTTCCAGCCCACCGTAGCCAAGAAGCACATCGATCAGAAGTTTGTCCTACAGGTAAGTGGTGCAAAGTGGAATGTGTCAATCAGGAATTTTTCCAAATGCTCCGCAGGATAAAAGCTAGCATAGTGGTTATTAAAGGAACCTTAATTATTCATGTGTCAGTTAGCCATTTTGCCCATGGCTTAATAAAAAAAAATGGTAGATTTACTTGATATCCTTTTGTGATCCTCCCTCAATTTTTATTGACCTGCTTCATAGACGACATTTGCTTGATCAATTCATTTGTTGGCAAGAACAAGAAAAAGACTATGATCATGCACATGAACTGTAAGTGTACGGGCCTGTGCAGGTATAGGTGTACAGTCGACTCCCGTTATTACGAGCTCGGTCATAACGATAACCCGGATGCAACAAGCATATTCTCCCAGTCCCAAACAATTTGTGTTCATTGCTATGGAGAAATATTTGGTTATTAATTGCACGGATATCGCGAGACTCCGCCTACAATGACGATTTGTGCCGACCCCATGCAAGCAAAAGTAGTTACAGTGACTTTTTTCCAAACCGTATTATCTGCAGCTGTCAAGGACAAACCTTTTGTCCCGATTCGGGCAACATACGTTTTCCCAGTCTGTCATGGCCTTATCAATGCACCTTTGTAAGAACTTCAATGTAATGTTGTTTCATCTCGCCAATCTTTAATCAATGACATTGCGCCCTCAATTGTCCCATTTCATTAAATGCAAATCTAATGTGAAACGCATCCCCCTTAAAATAGGTACAGGAAAATATGCCCTACAAAAAGCATCAACATAATCCAAAGCTATTATGTGCATGTATAAAAGAAAAATAATATCATCTACATCTCAACAAAAACCCTGGACATACTAGTAATAGTGGCGCCCTCTTTTGACTGGTTTTAGCCAATTCATGACGAAAGCAAAACGTACACTTGCGACGTGTCATGCATGTACTTACCGGCACGGATTTGAATGTTTCTTCTCACTCGGTTATTCTTCTCGGCTTCTTCTGATAGAGGTTGTTAAGTGTTAGACTTTTAAATATACTTTATTTATATCATTTTATTCATTAACATTAGGTAAAAATTCAGCATCAGTAAGAGACACATAACATCGTCTTTTCATGTGTTTGGCGTGGGGCATCGGTGTACCTGTACATGATTACAAAAGACATGTACGTGACTATAAACTTGTGCAAAATGATTGTGAAAAAGTGCACTCTGGTTTTAACGACGCTCCGGCTATAACAACAAAATTGTGAAAGTCCGCTGGCCTTCGTAATAACGGGAGTTGACTGTACAACTGTGTAATTCTTTGAATGGGTCTGAGAGCAAAAGATGTCCACACAAAGCAGGTAGTGAAGACGTTGTGTGGACTTGCCCTGGTCCTCAAAAGGTTTCCTCCTGATAGACAGGTGCAGAGGCATTCATATGGTTTATAATTCAGAATTATTCATCTCAAATGGAAGGCAAACAATCAAGGAAATCATCAGCAAGAATTCGGTCTAAAATGCCCTCAGAGCAAGGAAAATTGGTATTTTCATCAAGATACATGTATCTGAACCACCAGTATATGAACACAAAGGAATGTTCACACTATGGGTATGTACATGTATGCAACCCTAAGATGTGTGTATATGTACGTGTACACATGTTACATGAACATGTACTCATTGTATTGCATGTACACGTCATATGCTTAGGCTGGTGACCTGCCACACATGTACATGTACATACAGTTGGTGTACATGTACATGTTCAGAGAAACTCATAGCCCGTGTACATGTATCGGGTACCATACAAGAAGTAAGCTTCAATCTGTACAGAGTAGTGCCCAGCAATTAAAAAAAGACTTCAGCTTTGTGCAAGATACACGTACAATACATGGGCATGTACATGAATGACTGGGTTTTTTTGAGGGGGGGTTGGTCAGCACTTGCTGGCAGTGGTATAGGAAGGTCTATCAAATATAATTTTACATGTACATTGTACACTATACATGTACAAGTCCCTTCATAGGTCCAGTCGCCAGATCATTCCTACATGAAAGTACATGTACATGTACCAGTAACAGGATGCACAGCGACAAAAGGACGCGTTTGCCGCAATTCATTTCAGAATCTTGCAGCTTGACTTGCGACTGGATGGCTTGTGATAGACTATGTTACAAAACTGACACTTGCCACTGAAAAGCTTGAAATTAATCCCAATTCAGCAAAAATCATCACAATGAACACCACCCCTATGGTGCACGGCGTACCGTACATGTACCAGGGTTCTCCCCTTGTACAAACTTGCGTATATGGCCTGATACGCAATTACCGGTATTTCTGCCCGATACGCAAAAAACAGGCCCATACCCATTTTTTCATCCCCGATACGCACAATATAATTATGATAGTATGGCTCAGAATTATTTTCCATAATGCAGATTGCATGTCCGGAAAATCTAGATGAAAAAGTAGTTAATAAAAAAAATAATAGTCCTGCATTTTTTCGTGTACATGTACATTCTACACATGTAGGGTAGGTACCCTACATAGTACCGGTACATGCATTGCGCACCATGTGTCGGCGGCCACACCGTACATGTACATCGGCACCGAACATTCCTCGTGGCCGGTGTTGCTTGCAGCCGTGCGCATATATGTCTTTTTCTCTGTGCCGTGTGCTCAATACGCTGGTGGGGCTGCATTTACGAAGGTTGAAATTTTATT